TGTTTGACACAGAAAATTGATTTCCAGCTTCTTCTGCCTTCATTATGGAATGCAAAATCTTTTCCTGGAAACTGCTAATTCTGGTTTGTTGTCAACATTTGGATGGGTAAGCTTTCTTTCTTCACAGCAAGCTAAGGTTTGGCCCGTATGAACTTGAGATCTTGAGCATGAGGTGTCTTTTTTTCACTGGGGCTTTTGAAAAAAATAAAAAAAAAAAAAATCAGAAAGCAATAAGATAGTGGGGTAAAAATCCCAAAACATGAAAATCCATTTGAAATTACTTATTCTTAAATGAAGATACCGTTGTATTTTACTATTTAGTAATAACAATGACTGCAGGCTTGATCCTGCCCTCAGTAAAGGAAATTTTTTACTGACAACAAAGATGACCCTCAACATGAAGAGCTCAGTGAATGCCAAATCAAGACATAAGCGTGGTAATCCTTTACTGAAATTCTGCTATCTGCCTAACATGAAAAAAGTGGGAAGATTATGGGTTTTTCCATTACAATCTTCACGTGATTAAAACTGGGCATATGTGCAACTGGGATCTTTCCACTGGATTTTCAAATGTTCTCAAAGTTTGAAGTATTCATAGCAAGTAAGACAGCTCTTTCAAATGTTCCTTTATTTTCTTAAATATCTGGAACAATTTTTATTTATTTACTTTTAATCCGGATAAACAGGCTCTGGGTGTGTGAAAATTAAAAACTAGGCAATATTTAATTTAACAGGTTAAAAGGCAACAGACCTTTTATACAGTATTCTATTGTTACTTCGATACAACAATTGTGTTCACAGCTATCTTTTAGCTAGATACAACAATATGCAAATCTCCAATTTGCTACCAAATCCCTACATTTGCCACTTGGCAAACAAGATTTTATTGGTTGATTTGAAAACCAGTCAGAAATTTAAATACTACAACAGAAACAAAACTATGAAACACACTATTTCCAAAATAACATTCTGGAGTAGAAACATAATGTAAGGTATTAAATAAAACTGATATTTAGCCAGCAATGCAACTGTGAAGCCTAATAAAAACCAATGAAACCTAATTATAAAATAAAATCCTAAATCATAGCTCACTATTCCAAGGGTAGGACACGTAAAGTTCCCTATCATCAAGAGCTACAGTAGGGAATATTTTTTTATACTGTCAGGTATTCCACAAACTCATTGATATATGCACATATGCCTCTGCAATAATATTTTTAATGTGTGATCTGCTAAAGCCACATGAAACCCGAACAACCTTGAAGGTGAAGTGCTGGCTTGACTGAGATCAGTGAAAATAGTTCCAGTGATATTAATGTGAAGTCTGTAGTTTTGTTTGTTTCCAAGGCCCAGCTGACTCGTGAAGGCTCAGAAAAATTAAACTAGCTCTGATTTGGGGAACACAAGCAAACTCACCTGGATGAATACTGCAGTGCCACAAGATATCCTCAATCCACATGAAATATACATTTCCATTTAGTATGAAATTTAGCAATCAAAGTGTCATTCAAAAAGAATTATAATATATTTGAATTTTACTTTTGCTTTTAAACTCAAAAGCCACAATAAGGTTGATACAATTTTTTTTTTTTTTGCTTTTAATCTAGATCTGTATGGCTCTTACTGGATGAAAAGAAGCAATAATGTAACTAGCAGAAAATCTACTCCATCCATTTTCACTTGTCTACAGATATAGACCTTAATCTTATAAGAAACCTTTTACATGCTTAACTTCAAGAATACAGATATCCTAGGTTATATAAAAAGGTGTCCTCTTCTCTCTCTTATGACTTGACACCAACATTTGTCTTACAGAGTGACCATGCAGTCAAACAGGGAAATGTTGATAACAAGATCTCGCATGTGACTGAGTACATTAATAAAACTTGCGTAAGGCTTACTCTGAACAACATTTTTGAGGGGTCACCTGTGTAATCATTAATTCCCCTTAATACAAAGGAAATTAGCAATGTCTCTTTCAGGCTGAAGCACTCATTTGAATGCAGATGCTGGTTATTTTTAGTATTTTCCTTGCATATTTGAGCCCTCAGATTCATATTGCTACTTTTTATTTTGGGAAACAAGGCAATAAAATACACTAAAAATTAATTAATTACAATTTTAATGATAAGTAACATAGAAGCAGTGGAGCAATGGAATTGACAGCACAGCTAAGACCAACTTTGTATTTCCAAAGATGAATTCTCCAAGTTAATATAATTGATAAAACAAATTCATTCAGAGCCTGCTCTTAAGATGAATTCTCCCAAGGCAAAACTGACAGCAGACACTTCCAAGGCAAGCCAGATTCCTTAAAATATGAGGCTTCCACTAGGCTTAAAGCCACTAAGGTGAACTGATGCAGATGATCAAGAATTTAGGTGAAACACTGCATATTCTTGGACTGCTGTTCCCACCCTGATCTTAGTCCCTTGCCCAAGTACCTCACCTGAGCAGGGTGACTCATATTAAGCAAATAACGAATAAGTCAGAACTCACAAGTCATGTGATATCATTCCTCAGGTTCAAGATAGGTTATATTGACCTTACTACTGACACAGATCTTCCACCTCCTCCCCGTCTGGCTACTCTGCTCGCAGAACAGAGGACACAGGTTCAGGTATCAAAGCAATCAAGAAAAAGCACATTATTCCACCCAGTCTCTGCTCTAACAAAGGGTTCTTGCATACCTGCTGTCCTCAGGAAAAACGTGCACATCAGCAAAGCCACTGTAGTGAACCCAAGCAGTCTGCACAGCCCATCTGATTCCAGCAGAGTAGCCAGTGTGACATACTACAAGACTGTCAGAAGGACAGTCAAATTGAAATGGCACCCATCAGTAAAACATGGAAAAAAATCCTCTAATATTTATAGAGCGTGAATGTCATCTATAACCAAATAGGCAACAAATTAAATGCTTAATAAATTAAATATTATCACACAATTTTGTAAAATACAGCAGACTCGACGATTCACACCTACAGCCACAAGTAAGCTACATATGTAAGATACAGCAGGAAATAACAGATGGAAGACAGGGGAGACAGTGCAAAGAAACAGGTCTTCTTGTTCGAAAACTTACTTCAAGTACCTTCCAAGAAAATACTCATTATTTTACAGCCTAAGTTTCCTTCCCCCATAGTTCTTTTAGGACCCTAAGACTTGGCATTCGCTGTGCACATCAAGGGCTTTTTTCTAAATATTTTTATTTCTAAACTGTTCAACTGCTTTCTACTATCCACTTCTAATTTAGACCACACAAGTAATAACAGCTTTGTGCATTTCTACATTTTCCCAGTTGCTAGAGGTAAGAAAAACAACTAAGCAGTTGACTCAAAATGTGAACTGGCACAGCAAGAAATGCAACCCAGACTCTTGTGGGTTTGACAAAAAGCAAAATAAAGCAAATAACTAGCATTCACAAATAATTTACAAATAATGTGGGCACCAAAACAACACCCAGTAACACGGAAGCGAACTTGCAAACTCTGTCTGAATGGGTAAGAAAATTATACTATGCTCTTTCACACTAACTGTTCTCAGAAACCTGGCTTTCAGGTTCTCAGCCCACAGTAATTTTCAAGACAAGCCTCTCCCACATCCTTTTGCTTGTTTGTTTTCTCTAAGGGCAACTCTCAAATATTATTTGATTTTTTTTTCCTCCTAAAATGAAGTCTGAATCCAAAATCCTCTGGCTTAGATCAAACAATCTTAGTTTTTACCGGTACATCCTGTTCTTCCCAACTAGGCAAAAAGAACAAAATTGAAACTCTGATGTACACAGGTAAGGAGGACCATGGGCAACATCGTAACAACACAGTGCTTTTAGGTTCTGAGACTACCCGGACCTCGAAACTGTGCATTGTTGTGTTAGTACACCTGCATAGGGTGTGAGGACCCCAAGGAAGGTTTCCACAGCATTCTGCTCTCTGCCCTTTGGGCAACTTTTCAGTGAACTGTTTCTTTTGTATCACCTCAAGGTTTTTTCAGGGAGTAACAGGGCACTGAGACAATTTTACTAATTATAGTTTTCCCGTAAAAAAGTTCAAGGAAGTGGCCACATAAATTGATGAAGGTCATAATTTTCAGTTTTGACCGTCCAGTGAAACACAGCAGAGGCACTGGCACTATCCATGTGAAGACCGACAGGGCTGACAGGAACTTTTCACACCAAACTCGTCAGTGCAAAACACTGTTGCACCAGAGCACTGCAAGACCTTGTTCTCTTTGAAGTAATCAATTGCTGAGGAAAAAAAAATTCCATATAGTTGAAATATTTCAGCTTGGCATTACACTCATCCACTACACAACTGCACTGTCTTCATTTCTGTTCTGTTTTTTTTACACGTCTACTCTCTGGCACCGCCTTAACCTACAGACAAATCTTCCAACTTGGTATCAAACACTTGAGGTCTCCCTTCCTACTACACGCTGCTCAGGGGCAGTTGCCTGCACAGAAGGGCAGCACGGTGTGTCACTAGGACCTTTTGGAGCAATCAAGGAGGCAAACGGACACCAGAGGCCATCAATCCTTGACAAACAGATTTTCCCTTCTGTGATGCTGCACAACATCACCAATGTCTCCAATAACTTCTGGGATGCCTGAGCTACAGCACTGCTGCAGCAAATTAAAAATCACCTGTGATTACTTTGTGTTTGGCATAAAGGAAGTTCAAAAGCACCGGACAGGCAGGGGAGAAAGTGACTAAAGGTCTCTCATTTGTCTAAGCTGGAAATGTGTAAGTTGCAGTTACATCAGCCAGAGAATGACCATATAATAAATGCTTGTCGTTTCTAAGTGGGGCTGAGAGGTATGACCAAAGGCAAGCTCAGCATGGAGAGGGATGCAAAGTGCCAGTGAGACTGTCACTACAACCACATGAGCCCAGCCCAGCACTTAAATGGAGCTTGCTTTCACTACATCTCACGCACACAACACTATGGTCATATATACATCTATGTATATAATGCATATATAGGAGATATAGGTGTTTATGTACCTGCAAGGGCACCACCAGCAATGGCAGAGCTGTGAGCGAGACGTCTGCGCACTCGCTGCTCCACCAACACTGAGGCCACCCAGCCCGATCCCCTTGGGGTGGCGAGGAAAGGTGACACTGGAGACTTTTCGCATTGTGTTTTCCTGAACTGGTGTAAAAGCTTATTCCCAAATCAACAGAACTTCAAAGAACTACGTCCAAAACTGTAACTGTCTAATTCAAACCTGTTTGCACATATTTGTTTAGTATTGTTTAAAAGGCCAAACAAACACTCAAGAAAACTAACAAAAAAACCTCCAAACCCCCCCTCAAAAAAAAACCCCGTAATACCAGAATCCAATTCTTAAGAAGTGTTTCTGTGCAAGACAACTTCTGATGGATTATTCTGTAGTGCCACAAGAGGACACTCTTAAACCGCTTTTTTTACTGAGGATTGGCGTTTTACAAAGTATTTTGTATTCAGTGGTAAATACAGATCTCTGCCTTGCAGCGATGCAGAAGACAAGGACAATTCTTCATATTCAACAAATCTTGCTTAAGCTCAGGATTCAGGTAGTAAATAATTAATAAAATTTATTATTTTATCTGCTGTAAAAATTTTAGCTCACCTGAGAGCTGTAGGCCTTTATACATAAGCTTGAGTTTTTATAGCTTTTTCTAATACTTTGCTGATAACTTTTTTCTGAAAGCACTTAGCATATTTTACCCTTTAGTTACAACATTGTTGGAAACTTGCTATTTCCTTCTCCGTAAAGGTGTGGTACCAGTACTCACATACCTTGCTTTCAATTGCTCAAAACAACTAGGCATGCATATTTAAAAAAAAAAAATTATTGGGAATTACATTTCTAGAAATGTAAAACTACATTCTTAAGATGAGCGGTAGTATTAAAAGTACTGAAAAAACTACAATGTCAGTGCCTTATCATTATTTTAGAGACATTGGGTACAAGTTTTCTAGAGTTCTAGAGCCAAGAAATAAGTTAGAATATGTGAATTATACATTAGAAATACCTGAGTTTATATAACTCTACTGTCAGTTTGGAACAAAAGGAACACGTATGCATAAAACATCTTGCTTGTTTAAAGGAATCTCTGGTGGAACAGGTGTTTACAACAAACAGATGTAGAATCTTTCTCCATTTTGCTTATTATATGGCTTGCAGCAAGTTCTGTGGCCTGAACGAGAACAAAAAAGTCAGTTAAATGATGAATTAGTTTCTTTATACATACAGCTTAATGATAAACTGATTAGGAACAATAGAATTAAGATAGCTGGTGATGCTAGTCATATTTGGTATAAACATGTTTCATACATAACTTCATTTTAAAGTTGTCACGAGGTTGAATGATACTGTTAACCAAGCTGAGTAAGACTTTAATACCTTGACTACAATGATTAGTAGTTTTGGGGGGAGTAGAGGAACCCGATATTGTTATTCAAAGCCTCAAAATTACACTTCTAACTTTGGCTTTCATCATAGCAGCGATTAAGTGGATGCAGGAGACCACGATTACCTATGTCTTGGCCAGTGTGGCCAGCTCTGTGATATTCTGCTAAGTCTTGCTTCGGTCCTTCCCATCTGCCTGCTGATTTTTGTTCAGTCTGATGTGGTACTATCAAAACAGCTTTTCCCAGATTACTAGCTCCTGTCTGTTTCACTACAGCATTTCCAACAGGCTAAATCTACCACGCTGTCACCATATCCAGGAAGGATTTGGATAAAGAAAATATGAAGAAACTCATAATAAAACAACCAGAGGTGCTTACTGTTCTGAAGCATACATAGCTGATAATAATATGAACCACTGTGTTTTCTCTTTTCTTCTTTTTCTCTATGTGGGAGCTGAACACTTAGGTAAATGTAGATGCAGGTAGGATTACACTCCTTGCTTTCTATGATGTTTGGAGAGAGTCAAACCCCCATAATTAGCAAGGCTTTCTGGTGTACATTCACAGAATCACAGAATCACAGAATGGTAGGGCTTGGAAGGGACCTCTGTGGGTCATCTAGTCCAATCCCTCTGCCAAAGCAGGGTCACCTACAGCAGGCTGCACAGGACCTTGTCCAGGCGGGTCTTGAATATCTCCAGAGAAGGAGACTCCACAACCTCCCTGGGCAGCCTGTTCCAGTTCTCCGTCACCCTCAGAGGGAAGAAGTTCTTCCTTATGTTCAAAAGGAACTTCCTGTGCTTCAGTTTGTGCCCATTGCCCCTTGTCCTGTCACTCGGCACCACTGAAAAGAGCTTGGCTCCATCCTCCTGACACCCACCCTTCAGATATTTATAAGCATACATTAGGTCCCCTCTCAGCCTTCTCTTCTTCAGGCTGAACAAGCCCAGCTCCCTCAGCCTCTCCTTGTAGGAGAGATGCTCCAGTCCCCTCACCATCCTCACAGCCCTCCGCTGGACTG